GGGTGTGCCACGTTCCTGCTTTGAGTCAGTTCCCTCCAAAGGTTCCTCAGCGTCACTGTTCATCCTCATTGCTGTGCGTGCAAGTCACAGCTTAAGAAAAACAAGGACTCTGCGGGTTCATGCAACTGACAAGCCCGGGGTGGCTTCAGGCCAGGCCAGAACTAGCTCATGAGGCCGTGTCTCCCCAAATCACCCCTTGGTCCTGCCGTCTTCACGCTGGCTCCACTTCCAGACAGGCTCCGTCTGCGTGGCGGGGAACAGTCACTGGCACCTTCAGGCCCACGCGGTCCTTAGAACGCCACATCCCTCAGGAGGCGAGCGGACTTGGACCGGCCTGGCGGGAACTGGGTGCCCTTCCTTGAGGCCAGGCGCCCTGGGACGGAATGGGAAGCACTGCAGAAGCAGGAGTGTTTCCCAAGGGAAGGGATTCTTGGCAAAGTCACCTGCCACCTGGTTCCTCTCCAGGCGCACCTTTCTGGCCGCCCTGTAACTGTTCTCCGTGTCGGGAACTCGCTGCACTCACTGTGGTCGTCTCTTATTTTGCGCATCTTCCTGCACTGGCCCAGATGGCACTCCTCTGTTCTTTACCCAGCTGATGCCCACGCAGTCTTCAAGCTCAGGCTACGTCTATGGGATGCCTTTCCTGACCTTCCTGATCTGGGCTGGTAACTCATTTATGTGATTCCATAAGCATGTCATAAATACTCTTGACATGACACGGCATGATTGCAACTGCTTGCATGAATACTGGTCTCTCTCACTCAACTAGCTTTTTTGAGTTTTGTGATTGCACAATGCTTGGTACATAGTAACCACTCCACAGATGTTTGTTGAGTGACTGAAAGATAATCTCAGAGTGCCCTGCTTCTCTCATTTAAAAGTTGCTACAAAAAGATTTTGACTTTTTATTAGTAAGTTATAATTTATCTTAAGCAAAAACCTCACATAACACATGTAACTTAGTTAATGAAGTGGATGTAAGATGTGAATAATATTAAATACTAAATTATGATAAATTAAGTATCACTGGCTTACGACTGTTATATTTCTCTCTGAAACACTGGTGGATCTGATTAGTTGGCTCAGGGGTTCGTAACCAAGAATCCACAGACCTCTAAGGGATTCAAGGACAGAATTCAGAGGATACATGAACTTGGATGGGAAAACAACTTGATCCTTTAAGTGATGCATGCAGATAACAACCCAGTTTTGTTAGCAGTTAACTGTCAAAAACTCAGGTCTTTTCAAATCACATTACATTTGCTGCAGAGATCTCAACTTACTTTTTATGCCACTTCGGATCATAGCAGTTACTGGACCCACTCCTAGATCTATTAAAGGCACACCTGTCTGACTACATCGCAAATTAACTATTTTGATAGCCTACGCGTAAATGTAATTGGTTTCCTCTGTAATCCCATGCATCTCATTTTCTGCATTTAAAAACACGATTCTAGGCCAGGCGCGGTGGCTCACATCTGTCATCCCAGCACTTTGGTTGGCGGAGGTGAGAGGATACCTGAGCCTGCGGCTCTGAGACCAGCCTGGGCAACAGGGCAGAACCTCGTCTCTAAAATAAATTTTAAAAATTAGCTGGGTGTGGTGGCGCACACCTGTAGTTCCAACTACTTGGAAGGCTGAGGTGGAAGGATCGCCTGAGCTTGGCACGTTGAGGCTGCGGTGGCCATGAGCGTGCCACTGCACTCCAGCTGGGGCGACAGAGTAAGACCCCAACTCAAAAAGTAAAAACACTATTCTGAGGAGCCCGCGGCACGAAAAAGCTAAAGCGACCTAGGCAACCACTTGAAGTGAAGAGAGACCGGGGTGTGCTGACCTGATTCCACGGAAACTTAAGCCGTCTTTCCTTCTTTCTAATGTCATGCTAAGAAGAGATCTTAGGCCTGTTGGACAATCCTAAGACTATAAACCCAAGAAAAGACGTCCTCTCTCAGACTGAAATTTCATCGGGATGGAAAAACCCATATAACTCGTCTCAAAGGGGCTGTGGGTTAGGTTGGAAAACGGAGTGCCTTTGGACCTTCTCAAAGACTCGCAGGCAAATGCTGCAGCCGGCTGGCTTGGGAGCTTGCCAAAGAAGGCAGATCGGAACTCATTTCCTCGTGCCATTATCTGCATAGAATCTACCAGAACAGGATGTCAGTTCCTCAAACTCTCAGGACATGCTCCGTAAGGTGATGAGATCCTTTCTAATAATGCCGGGCGACAAGGATCTGACAGAGGTAAGGCCCTCACTGGAGTTCTTGTTCCCTAGGAGTTTCCCCGTGGGCTGCTGGTCTGGGTTCTGACAGGAAGCAGATAAGCCTAAGACGCTTTGAGGATTCGCCACACAGAATCGTCCGGGCACCTGCTGAGAAGACACCATGGCCTCAGCAGCTCCAGGCCAGTGGCAGCAGAACCGGCACCATCCTTGCCAGCAGGGACGCGGGCAGGAGTGGTGGAAGTCTGGGGAAAGTGCTGGCCCCTGACGTCCAACACAGTCCTCCAGCCTGGGAGAAGAGTGAGATCTCTGTGACAGCCTGCTGTTCTCTGCTCGCTGGCCAGGGTGCTCCTTGGCCAAACCCACACAGGCGCCAGAAAGCACAGGGCCCTGCCAGGGTCCCTTCAGGCTGGCTCTGTGGGCCAGACCCTGCCAGGCACCCGTCACAATTTGCCGGTCCAGGGGGGCGGAACTGTATTTTATCCATGGCTGCACCCAGCACAATTCTGGTCCATGGTGAGCACTCCACATTACTGAGCGGATGAACCAAGACCTGAAACACCGCTGAAACGGAGCAGACGCAGATGATCCATGACACCACTAGGAATTACTTCCAGACAGAGTGGAGATTTAAAACGTCACTCAAGTATTGGAGCATGATTCTCCAACAAGTTCTCTTCTGTAGACCAGGTGGAGAAACTTCACAACTTTAAAATATAATTAAGTACAGTTGATGCCCTTTATTCATGGAATCTGCATTTGCAAGTTTGCTTAACCTAAAATTTCTGTGCTGTTTTTGTGGTCAGGCACAGAGTAGCAAAAAATGTGACTTGCCGAACGTCTTCAGCTAAGGCTGAGCAAAGCCTTCCTGTCCCAGCTCTTGCACCATAAAGAAATGTCCTTTTACCTGCTTAATGCCATGCTTTCTGCATTTTCGTCTTGTTGATTTCCCTGTTTAAAATGGCCCCCACGCATAGGGCTGACATGCTGCCTCGGGCTCGCAGGCGCAGGAAGGCCGACACGCCTCATGGAGAAAGCATGTGGCATCAGACAGCTTCATCCAGGTACGACTGTGGTGTCAATGGTCGTGGCCTCAACGCTACTGAAATCAATTATATTTTTAAAAGTATCTATGAAACAGAAAGGCACCCGAAGCAAGTTTTTGTACTGCCTGGTTGATGCAAATGTGACCAGAGTCTTGCATAAACTTAGCCCTGTATTTCCCCCGGAGCAGTGGTTCAGTATTTGCTAATTCATGCTGGCAGGGACTTTACAGAACTCTCTCGAATAATGACAATCAACCGTACTTGCTGATTTCTATTTCCTAATAAAGATTAAAACAAGAAAATTCCATGTATAAGACATAAGATGATTTTTGTCAGCAGTGAATTGATATTCATGAGGGAAAACCAGAAAGGGAAGAAACACCAAAATCCATTTCCACTACAAAATGTCAATGTGATATATTCAGATTTACAACTTTCTGAATAGTATTTCTTCAATTAAAGTTGTCTAGAAGGCCTTATGGTTTGAAAATGAAAGAAACCAGCGGGAGAGAAAAGAAAAAGCACCCTGCTTAATACGTCAACTTTAAGAATGATCACATACACTTTAGTCTCACATCTAGACTTAGCCTCTGGCTAATTCAATCCTGCTTAGTCAGGCCAATTTATATCCACTCAAGAACAAACCCTCCATTTTCCAAAGCTTCTTGCTACTTAAAGTAGCACAGCAAATCTGAAGTCCTTAAAAAAAAAATCCCCAATCTATAACTATTGTAAACAACTCTCCATGCTCTGGTACAAGAGTAGTTGCTGCTGGCCAACCAAGAGGGTTAGCTGTCTCTTCCTCTGAAGACTTCAGCAAAGGCAGCCTTTTGATTTTTACCTGTCTTTAAAGTACACAACCTTGAGCCGTAGAACAGACGCTGACCTGAGATTTTTAACTCATTTTCTAACCACAGGAAGAGTATTTCCCCCAGGGATCACCACATATTTATAAAAATGTGTACTGACATTCTGCGAGAATCTACACACAGCGACAAGATGCTGAATCTCCTGTCTGCCGCTGCTCCAAACGTCTTGAAGACTAGACACAGAACATAGAAGACTCCAGGACGAATCCTGAGTGCCTGGGTGACACCAACAGTCGTGATGATAACTACATCATTTTTATTTCTGAAAAACACGTTTTTATATCCCCGAGTAGGTCTGAAAGTCACTGGTGATTAAAGCTTACAAGCCGTAATTGTACATATTCCTCCCATGGAAATAAAGTAGCAGAGCTCTGCAGAGGTGAGAGGAACATACCCGGCGCACTGATTCATAGACATCTACCAAGAAGAATCCTAAAATGATGACTGCAGCATTGACAGGGTTGCACTAATGTCACACAGCCACACTGCTGTCCACTCACAGAGAATACTATAAGGAAGCAATCAAGCCATGTTTAATACAAATGTGTCAGTATACAGGAAATGTATTTTTTCCACAGTTAGAAAAATTTAACATCTTTAGTCAAACACTTGGATGGGAAACAGCCTAAAAAATAAAAAATAAAAGACTGACATACACTGTATTTCAACAACAAAACAAACTGCTCTCACTGTGACTGAAAGAAATCATTTAATAATATTCATTATCAGTTTGTAAAAGTGTAACTCCAAGGAATGATTATGCTCGTAAATAAACAAGATTTCTCAATAATATGTGAAACTAAGGTATGCAAGACGTAAAATCCAACTGCAAAACTAGTTCAAAGCAAAGAGAGTCCAACAGTTCTCTTATGTTTTCTTTTATATTCTTTATTTTAAATTGATATTTTAGAACAGTAAATTATCTTTCACAGCAGTGCCTCCTGGTCTGATAATGTAGAGATTTAAAATAAATCAAAGTGAACATTAAGGCGTACAAAGCTACTTTAAGTCTGCTCTCACTTAATAAAGATCAGTTTTTACTCATATTCAAAATACATGGAATGTTGGCACAAAACCGAAGGGCTGTAGAAAGATCACACACATTCGGTGGGTTATTGAAACTTCATTTCTCTAAAAACATGTCCTTACATGGTCTCAATTTTACAAATTTAAGTGTTGCGAGATGTCTAAATAATAAGTGACAATTAAAATAAAATGCTTTATTTGTCAGTTATGTACAGAATACACTTGACGCCACGACAAGGACACGGGAGGAGAGCGCCACTGGCCTCCAGCCACGCTGTTCTCTGCTGGAGACGACCATCGCTCCGGCCCAGAGGGACACATCAGGTGGGGTTTCCTACATCGGAAAAGGAGAATCTGGAGCTAGGCTGAAAGCGTTGCTGCACTTTGTTTCTAGTGGGCTTGTTTCCAGCTAACTTAGAATCCGAAAAGAAGCTTCCTGGTATAACTTTATAATGAGAAACAAAAGTCTGCCTATCGAGAACAACGAGTTTAAGCATCTTAAAGAAACTGGGAAATGGCTACGTAACCGGCATAATCTGAAGTGCTGGAGTTTCTTGGTTCCTTTTAAAGTTATTTTGATTAGTCTAACAGTAAAAAGCCATACAACCATCAGGTATGCCATAAATCTAATGTCGCTGTGGAAACTACCGAATGGATAAAAATTATTAATGGCTTTAAACTGTACCAGTAATAGTACCAAGAGTCTACCAAATGAAAGACTGGGCACAACTGCTAGGTGTCAAATACACTCCAGTAAGTAGCTTTCAAGACGGCCACAAAAGCCAAGTGTACGTGGTGATGCCCAGCCAACACAGAAAAGCCAATCTCTTGTACTTACTCAGCCCCAGACTGGTCAGATTACGACTTTTCATGTGAGCATTTAGCAGTCTCACGGTCACTGTCTTCCTCCGCCTCCGCCTCCGCCTCCGCCTCCTCCTCACAATCCCCATCTGTCTGCTGTTCCAGCTCCTCCTTGGTTATCATTTCGAAGTCGTTCCCGTTCCCACTGCTGTGCTGGGACCGCTCGTCTTCTCTCCGGTCGCTGTCCGTGTCCGAGTGCCGCTCTCCGCCGGAGCCCTCTGCGCCGGGACCTGCTGGGCCGGCCTTTGCCTCCTCCTCCTCCTTCTCCTCGCTGTCGGACTTCTGGTGCTTTTTCGTCTCGGGTTTCTCGTCTTTCTTTGAGTCTGCTTTTGGTCCCTTGTATTCGTGTGTGTACAGAGGCCTGAAGGAGTCGACGAAGCCCACGTCAGCAGTCAGGTTCGGCAAGAACCAGAAGTGGTGCCTTCCCCCGGTGATGAGCCAGATGATGAGAAACAGAATGCAGCGAGCTGCGGAGAGAAAGGCCGCTGGCTGAGTGGTTCACGCACGGACGGGGACAGGAGAGAGTATCCGACCACAAAAAGCAGGAAAACAGCTAGTGGTACCATCTGCACGTTTCACACACCTTAAACACGAATGCCTGAATCCTGGCCCGTCGGGCAACTGGCAAAGTGCTCTAGGGGCCAAACACTCTGCTCTGAACTTGAGGGCACCATGCCATGATGCCACCCTTAAAAGTGACTTCCACTTTTTTCATCTGGGTGCTCCTTCGTGGATACACACTTATGATTTCGCGCTTTGCAGTGCTATGCATCAATAAACACAGCAGTCGGTCGGAAGTTTAAGTATTCACGAGTTCCAGCATAAGAGAGGATATGTAAGGGATAAAGGAGAGCTTAAGGAAAAACACTGCTAAGAGGAAAAAAGCAGGGCCGCCCCAGGACTCTTCTACAGACTGCAGGCACATGCCACCATGTTCAGCTAACTTTTTGACTTTTTTGTGGAGGCAAGGTCTTGCCCAGGATGTCCTTGAACTTCTGGGATCAAGCAATCCTCTCGCCTTGGCCTCCATTGGGACTACAGGCGTGAGCTACTGTGCCCTGCTAGAACCTAGTTTAATTAAAAGGTAAGTAAGTGGAATGATTCTGTTCAGTGGAGCTAAGCTTTTGCCAAAAATTTCAAGGAGCTTCTAAATTTCAGACTTGAGGGGCAGAAAGCATCAACTTATTCTGTCTAACATCAAAGCAAAAGTTACGGCTTTTCTCCTTCTCGATGTAGGTGTTACAGTAACACTAGTTTCCTGCTGAACAGGCTTAGATGTCATTTCCTGGCTTGCAGTACATGCAGAAGCAGGGGGTTTTCTCAAGGTTACAAAGCTAGAGAAAGGCAAAAGAGGAGAGCGGGCGGAGAAGGCCTCACCCAAGACAGAAGTCACAGAGGAAGAAAAGGCCCACAGCCACGATGAACTGAAGAAAGACACTGGGTGAGCTCGTGGTCCCTGGATGGTCACACCAAGCCAGGACAGCTTGAAGGCCAATATGAACAAAGCATTCATGAGATCATGGTATAAGAAAAAAATGTGTAAGGGATTAAGGATAGCTTAGGAGAGGCTGAGGAGTAATGCCTGTTAACAAGAATCTATTATATACCACAGACCCTCAGGATAACATGCACCCAGTTCAGAAAACCTTGGTCTAACTGTGTCCTCTAACAAGAGACATTAGGTCACTAATGTGGGAGTGGCCCTTTCTTTTATCAGGAAGTATTCCCAAGTCTTGATGGAAAAGTTGATCTGTCATAGGGAAAATACTAACTTTATAACATATACCAACATAAACTCTAGATGAATCAAGGAATTCGATGTAACTTAAAAATCACTAGACAGCTTTAGATAAACTGAGAAAAATTAATGTATCTTTCCTAAAGTGAAAAATTAGAGCTGCCTGTCTATATGGGAAATCTTCAAAGATTAGAATTTCAAGTAAGATAATATCTGACTAAATAACATGCTCACTGTGGGAAAACACAGAAAAGTGTAAATAAGAAAATGAAATTATAAATGTCACCACTATTCACATCTGGGTACATTTCCTGCCCTGGAGTTTGAGCATTATCATTTCAGGGAAAAAAAATCTTCCTAATTATATAGAGGAAAAAACACCTCATTATCTTATTTTTACTGATTACTGGCGAACATTTGTATATATTTAGTAATTATTTGTTTTTTATACCTCTTCTAAAGCATAAGGAGGTGTTCATGTCTTTGCCACTTAATGTTTGGGTCGCTTATCAATTGGTGTGAGTAATGGGAATTTAAATATTTTGCATCTTGTTTTTTTTGAGTTGGAATCTCACTCTGTCACCCAGACTGGAGTGCAGTGGCCACTCCCGGCCACCGCAGCCTTGACCTGGGCTCCGGCAATCCTTCCGCCTCAGCCTTCCAAGTAGCCGGAATTACAGGCATGTGCTACCACGCCCGGCTGATTTTTTTTTTTTTTAATTTATTGTAGAGATGAGATCTCGCTGCCCAGGTGGGTCTCGACCCACGGGCTCATGCAATCCACTCACCTCAGCCTCCCAAGGGGGCAGGATTACAGGCTGAGCCACCGAGCCCGGCACGTCTTGTTTTTTTTTTGTCAGAGTCTCACTCTGTTGCCCAGGTTTGAGTGCAGGGGCACGCTCACGGCTACAGCAATCTCGACCTGCTGGGCTCAGGCGATCCTTCTGCTTCTGCCTTCCAAGTAGCTGTAACTATAGGCATGCGCCACCATGTCTGACTAATTTTTTGATTTATTATAGAAACAATGTCTCACCAAATTACCCAGGCTGGTATAGAACCCCTGGGTTCAGGTCTTGCCTTGGCTTCCCGAAGTGCTGGGATTACAGGTATGAGCCACCGTACCTGACTTATTGTTTGTTTTAAATTCTGTCTGACATTGAAAAGGTTTTACCCCTATGTGATCCAAATCTACCAGGTTTTTGTTATTTTTAGGTTGCTTTTTAGCTTCTCAAAGACCCCAATTACCCAGAAATGTAAAAAACTCATTCACTTATGCCTTCTTGTTTGATTTTTAAAACACTTAACTCCTAAATGCATCTAGACTTTATTTTGGTATCTGGATGAAAATTATTGATTTCCCCTCAAATAGCAGATCAATTCTTTGGAGCCATTTATTAAATACATGCATAGAATTTAAATATTTGACACGTTTCATTTGCCTTAAGTCAAAATATAAAAATATTTTACTGAAAGTACGGCTAATAAACGATCATTGCAAAAATATTAAAGTCTTTGTTTGCCACAGTTAATTGTTAAAGCCTATCTATTTGCAGATTGCATAACAGTAATGCACGGTATGTTTCAAAATATTAAGAGTAAATTTCAAATGTTTCACCATAAAAAACAGTTAATTATGCTAGTTCGCTTGATCTAATCATTCCACATTGTACACATATAATCAACACACCACTCTATACCCCATTAATGTATACAAGTATGACTTGCCAATCAAAAATCATCTTTTTTGAGTTGGAGTCTCACTCTGTCACCCAGACTGGAGTGCAGTGGCTGCTCCCGGCCACCGCAGCCTCGACCTGCTGGGCTCCGGCGAACTTTCTGCCTCAGCCTTCCAAGTAGCTGGAACTACAGGCGTGCGCTGCCACGCCCGGCTAATTTTTCATTTATTGTAGAGATGAGGTCTCGCCAAGTTGCCCAGGCAGGTCTCGAACCCGTGGGCTCAGGCAATTCACTCACCTCGGCCTCCCAAAGCGCGGGAGTACAGTCTGAGCCGCCGAGCCCGGCTCAAAAATCATCTTAATGAGAACAAATCTAATCATGCCCGAGTCAGTTTTGGAACCTGACCCAGAAAGCAGGACCTATACTTCTTGGTTTGCCTACATTAACTTTGCTTCAGCTTCACTGAAGCTTCGGATGACACACCAACTGCTCAATTCCCATCTTCAAGAAGTCAGTTTTACTAAGCACAATACTTACCAACAGCAAGGAGAAGAATACTGGCTACAAAACAGCCAGCACCCACACTGAGGTAATAAACACCTACTCTCATTTCTGCCGGCCAGAGAGGAAAGAGGGTGGCCGCTATTACTGCAATCACTGGAAGAAAAAAAAATGACAAAGTTACATCCACAAACTTTTAGCATAAAAACTTAACTGGCATGGTTGCAATAATAGTGCAGTAATATCCATAATATCCTTAGGGGGAAAAACTGAAACATAAGTACAATGAAACATAAAATTCCCACTTTTATAATGAGGTTGAAAAAATCAATTATGAACAATTTCACATTGCTCAACTTAACAATTTTTTTTTTTTTGAGTTGGAGTCTCACTCTGTCACCCAGGCTGGAGTGCAGTGGCACACTCATGGCCACTGCAGCCTCGACTTGCTGGGCTCAGGTGATCCTTCTGCCTCAGCTTTCCAAGTAGCTAGAACTACAGGCACATGCCACCACATCTGGCTAATTTTTTGATTTATTATAGAGACAAGGTCTCACCAAGTTGCCTAGGCTGGTCTCGAACCCCTGGACTCAGGCAATCCTCTCGCCTTGGCCCCCCGAAGTGCTGGGATTACAGGCTTGAGCCACCGCACCTGACCAACCTAACGTTTTATATTGTTCTTAACCTAGGTTAGAATTTTTATTTTTAATATAGATTACCCATAGCTAGAAAAAAAGTGCTGCATAAAAATTCAAAACTCCTGGCTCCCTAAGTCATCAACAGCTGCCATTTACAAGCTATGTCTACCTTGGTGCCCTCTGCACTAGGAAACATCTCACAGATCATATTGGCTACATGACCGTGCTTTTTTACAAAATAGTGAAAAATATTAAATAGCATAGTGTTAGAACCAATTATCTTACTGTAATAATATTTGGCTTGTAAGGAGTTTTGGACACTATACCTTACATTTTTCTAACATGTGGTAATGTATGAAACAGTCACCAATGTGCACTGCAGATTCACTGATACAAGTTATGCAACAATAATTTGTTTGAAGTCTTCCACTTGGTGTTTTTCTATTCGAGCAGAAAATGCAGTCTTGTTTTCTTCCTCCCATATTAATAATATATAATTTATTGTCCAGTCTGTTGTTCAGAAACGTGGAACAATGCACTCATGATTCCTGAAAACCACTTCTTAACTGATCAATCATATCTCAGTATATATTCCATCTCTGTATTTGTTTTGTGTAATTTGAATGGAAAACTTTAAGGAAACATACATTTTTGAAAAATTTGTGCTTGTACAAGTTTGTTCTGTACAATCACCAGTAATCTCTTTATGTCCCCTGAGAGGGGACATCCAAGTGCAAAGCGTGAATACTAAGATACCTGCCTATGGAGAAGAGGAGCCAGAACAACAAAACAACAAACCTGACGAAAATGATTCCAGAGACCTCCCCCTCCCCCAGAATTCTGATTCTGTGGTGAGCTCTGACACCTACAGACTGAAGTTTCCCAGGTGATTCTGCTACAGGTGGTTTATGATACTTGGGGAAACTATAGAAGCATCTGCAGGTTTTTGGCAAGTCAAGTGGGCCACATGGAAGAATGATTAGGAGATTAGAAACCTGGTTATTAGGTCTTTAGAGTAAGACCAGGATTCAAATTCTGCCTCTTTCATTTATGAGTAAAGTTACTTACAAGGGCAAGTTACTTAACCCCTTGAGCCTAAGTTATCCTATATTTGGTAAGTGGCTATTCCTATTGTTTAAGGGTTGTTGTGAGGATGAAATGAAACACTGTGTGTAAGATACTTAACCAAGTGACTTCTACACTGTAAGTAATCAATAACTATTAGTTATCTGGGTTGGGTTTAACTGAGTTTCAGCTTATTATTTAGGAGGTGTTTCGAATGGAATCCTATGATATCTCATATTGACCAAGTTTATTTTAACTGTTATTTTTTTCTATTTGTTAAATCATTCTCTCCCTACAAATACCTGCCCTAGTCCTACAGAAATATACACCCTTGTTAAAAAATCAAATAGAAAACAAACCAAAAGATCAATTGAAGGCTGTCATCGTCAGATTCTTGCTCTTCTGAGGTTAACCACTAGTAAGCTTATTTGTATTTATTCCCCAAAACTGCCGATATAACTCAAACTAGCTACAAAGAATTGTTTTCCTACATTAATGAACTTTTACTATTCTCTTTTGCTACTTTCTTTTTTCAATTAATCTATCCATTAGCACATCCTAATTCTTTAAAAGCTACCACTATTGTGTAGTTGTACTGTAATTTATTTTACTGTTCTCCTATTGAGACAGTTGAACTGTCTCCAGTTTTACCCTACAGAAAACTGTGCAAGTATCTTTGTACATGTGCATTTGTGCAGCGGTGATCACAGCACAAGATAAATTTCCTGAAGTGGAATTATTAGGTCAAAGGCATTTCAAAATTGAAATTTATCTACTAGATTACCCTCTTCAATATAGTCTGAGGGATTTAGACCAAAATAGATAATGTGTCAATGAACACACTTTGTGCAACTTTGAGAACAGCCATGAGACAAATTCTTAGAAGCAGAATTGCTGGGTCACTGATCATGCACTCGAAACTTGAAAGAAATTGCCCAACTGTCCTCCATAAAACTGAAACAGTGAACGTACCCACCTATTGCTGGAGTGTTGGTTTTCTTCCCAGACCTTCACTGCCAAACTCTGTAATCCTCTTAATCAGCTACTTTAATTTGTATTTGTTATGAGTGTGACTGATATCACCCACAATGACTGGTCACTGTATTTCTTTATCTGTGAGCTTTCACCATTTCCTACCAGCTTGTTAACTGCTTAAGATCTTTGTTACAGTGTGTTGCAAATATCCTCCTTTAGTTTATCATTAAACGTCTGGCTTTATTTAAAGTACATTTTAAAAAATGATTAACTATTTCATGTTAAATTTAGAAAAATTTTCTTTTTATGGCATATGCATTTTTTTTTTTTTTTTGAGTTGGAGTCTTACTCTGTCACCC